ATTTTAATTCCTCCCTAACAAGCTGTTATATCCTTCTAAAATATTCCTTAAAACATTGTCAGGTTTTGTTGCATGCATCCTTTTTTTTATTAAAATATATTCTTGAACAGTAATTTGAACTCATTACAATCACACATTCTTAAATAAAATAATATTATACAAAAATTCAAATTTTTTTCCTTATTTTTTAACCACACATTTTCCATCTTAACACTATTGCAAAATGCATTTTTTGTAAAAATGAGGCCCAAACAAGCCCTAAAATGTTGTCTGAAAAAAATATAATCAAGTTAAAGTAATTCTTAACAATATCAAAATTATTATTAATATTGACGATGATGATTAGATTGTCTAAATGAATTAAGAGCCTGTTTGGTGTGGATTAAAATCTATCAGATTTTAATCAATGTCAAAATCAAACAATCAATATTAATTACATTTTTCATAGGTTCAACAACTTTTCAACCACACATTTCAAAAACTACTATCATAATGTACTAAACATCTAATTTTAAATTCTCACCAAACACCCTCTAAATATATTTTCGATTTTTCTTTGTTAATCGAGAATGTTAAAACAATTTTAATTCGTGCAAAGGAAAGAGATAAATTGGTAACACATTGGATTGTAGCAACATTATATAGACTTCAAATTTTGAACAAATGTGGTAGAAGTAGAGAACAAGAAGGATTATTTTGCAATAGTTGGTTTGTAAATTTCCCGGAGCCCAAGGCGAACAAACAGAGGAAATAGTGACAAATGTCCGGATGACCCGCCATTTTTTTGCAAAATAGGCGTTGACCAATTTAAGAAAAACAATTAAATAACTTTACTTTTCCCAATTTTACCCTTAACTTAATTTGTTGGAAGAGTGAGAGAGAGGATTCTCACTCAGACGACCCCACCATTTCCTCTGACCCGGACGGACGACCCAGACAACGAGATCAATTCACAAGAAGAAGGTGAGTGAGTTTGGGAACAATAATATGTATTTTTTATGATGATGATTGTATTTGGTTGAATTAAAAAGCATGGAATAATATAGGATTTATTGATTATTATGTTTATTTTTGAAGAAATTGTTGTAAAATCAATTATTAATGGATGAAATGTGTCTGGGGAGCAATTTGAGGGTTGGAGATCGCCGAAAATGGAGTTTTCCGGCGATCTCCGTGTATGAGACGTCGTCACGTCTATGGCCAGCCCAGACTTCCGGGCCCAGAAGTCCAGCCCAAAATTTTTTTTATTTTATTTTATAAATTAAAATTTTAATTTAAAATTACTTATTTAATTTGATTACAAAGAATAAAATAATCGATTTATAATATATATTTTAAACTACTTATTTAAATTGTTTATATATTTTTTAAACTACTTATTTAATTTGATTACAATTTATAATAAATTATTTC